GTAGCTGGCTTCTCGAGGAGGAAAAAAAAAACAAAACACCCCCAAAAATCCCCATGTGTACGGAAAGACCTTGCAAAATAGTCACCTTTCAGACTCTGTCTCTGTAGAGCACAAGAAAGTGCATGGCTGAATGAAAGTGCTCGTTCGGCATTCGTGTACAGCTACCGGTTATGCTCTCGTTGGAAACTTTCGCTGTGGGCGCAGTAGTGGTGTAAACTGAGCTCACTTTGCGTTGACTGTGCTTCCATATCTTTGGGTTTCAGAATTTATTTCCTTTAGAATTATTTTTTGCCTCTGTGCAAGGAAGAAATTGCACTGGAAACTAAAACTTGCTCAGCAGTTGGAATTGTTGAGTGCCTCCTGCACTGGGGGCATATACAGAGGGTATAATTTACACAGTGTCTTACTCCTGGTAAACAATACGCACTGTGAGTTATAAGTTATTGAAATTGCTCTTCTCAGTATAACAATTTGCTCTACTGGCCCATAAAAATGGCTCGCATGATTTCTTGTAAGGAAAAGGCTAATGGTTGGATGGAAAAAAAGCCAACAAAACCCACAAGAAAAACCCTTCCAAGAACAAAACAGGCCGTGTTCAAATGAATTCATTGAAACTAGGGACTTGCCAAAAAAAGCAAGACATCCATGGGAATAGGGATACCCACTACTATCACTACTAAAATGGTTGCTAGTTTGGTTTCATGAAGAACTGCTTTCAGCTGTATGCATTACATGTGGTATTCTAAGTACTCATTATAATTCAGGCATGTTACTCATCCGGTCCTGGCTAGAGAATTTGCGCTTGCAATTGTAGCATACTTCAGAGCGAGCGGAGAACACTGCTAAGGAGCTGTTTTGCAGTGTGCTACAGTTCTGTGCTAGGATAGACAGGAATTGAGAGAAAGTGCTTAAAATTTGTAAATACACCAGAATTTTAGGAGATACTTTTTTAATACCCAGTTCCCTTTTTCATTTTCAACCTTGCTCAGAAAGATTGAGCTACTTGTTGTGAGTATTACGGTTGTGGTTTTAAAGCTTGAAGCCAATACTTTATATTTGCTCTAAAAACCTGTGAACAGTAAAGTCTGTCATGTACTGGACTTCCAGACAGAAATATTCCCCTCCCAACTCATATTTCTAATGTCTGTTTTAGCTAGACCTGTACAGTTCCTGGGAGGTGACAATATAATCGGTGGAAGAGGTAATGAGAGAAGTAATTGAATTTTGAAGGGCTGCAGCAGTAACTTTTTGTAGTACAGTGTCAGAAGTAATAATCTTATCACTTCTGTAATCTGTAAGAGGTTAGACCATAAGAGAAAATAGATGTGATACAGGAAAAATCATATCTTCTCATGGATTCTCTTCACACATGCTCACAACCCTCAGCACTGACTGTTGCTACACAGTTTTAAATCACAGGGGGAAAGACTGTTATAGGGAATATACTATTTTCCATTGCTTTGAGCTTTGTCTTTAAAAATACTGTGATTTTATGGAACAGGGAATCTGTTGCTCTTTGTATGCTGTTAACCTTGAGGTGCTGCTAGAAGTAGCGTCTTCCTGTAAGGTAAAGCTTTGCATGTATAGATATATTTCTCCTGAAGAAATTAAGTCTAATGGACTACAGCTCGCTTCACCTTCATTGGCATTGAGAATTTTTAGAATTCTTTCTTAGCTACAACTCAGTGCAGAGAAATCTTAGCAGTACTAGTTTCATCTCACATTAGAGAAGCTTAAAAGCCTTTAGTTCTTCCAAAGGCTTTGTGTGGGGGAGATACCTGACACAAGGAGTTGCACCAGTGTATGTCAGACTTTACAATGAAACAGCGCAACTAATCTGTTCAGATGCCGCTTATGTAATTGAGTGATGTTATGTATTGTGTAAGTAGGGGAAAGGTGGTGGCATTTCATGTTTATGAAGATACTTCATACCATTTTTTTCTACAGCAATGCAAATAGACTTAATCTTTGGATTCAGATCTAGCCTGTAATTAGTGGCTTTAGTAACAGCTGTTAAGAATGTACATCAAGGTAAATGACAGCAGGATTTGACCCATTTTGGATTAGTCTTTGAAACAGTTCTGCTTTTTTTTTCTGACACCGTAGAGTTTTACATCCTGTTAGTACAGCCTTGGTTTATTAGCAAAATTGATATGTTTTCTTCAGATGAGACAGTCCCTACTGTTGCTACCCTAGTGTACATCTATAGGGTAGTTAGTACCACACAAATGTAGGTTCTAGAAACATTTTTAAGTGATTCTGTCACATTAAGAACATCAAACCTGACCACAGTTTTGAAATCTGCTGCCAAGAGATGGTAATAATTGTAAACTTGTTTTTCCTGCTGCTTGAATTGCCACTTCTTTGGTCATCTCTGTACTTACTTTGGCTCTGGGTGCCTCTGCAGAAATGAAGAATTAGGTTTCATGCTACTGTCAGGCCATGCAGGATACTTGCTCCAGAGAATCAGGAATAATGCATAGTGCCTCTGGTGACTGTTAAGAGACCCATGAGTTGGGAGTGAAAAGGGGATTTGTTTTGCCCCCCCCAAAACGGTAGCGCTCTGAGATGATGCATGTTCTGCTCTCTCTTCACACAAGGTGTGTCAGTAGCGTTAAGATAAATCCGCAAACAAGACTAATGATTTACTTTCATTATAAAACTAGTGTCCTGTCCATACATGCAAAAAGATCTTGAAGTGATTGTACTTCAAGCTGTCAAGCCCATCAGAGAGTAAGCTTCACTTTGATATCATGTAGTTGCTGTATGCTGCTGAAGTGTTTCAGTGTGGCTGTTCTCGCTGTTGTTAGGCATATTCATGATAATGTGAAGATGTTGAAAATGTGGCTAAAGGTATGTAAATGAATGGGTTTTTCATTTCAGCACCGGCCGTATTGCGGCAGTGCCTCTCAGCGCAGCTGTTGATGGATTTAAGTCACAATTGATCTTCCAAGAGATTGAAAAGAAACTCCAAGAGGTATTTGACTACTTCTTTTACCTGCAGCAGGATTTTTATTTATGACAGAACATGTGTGAAACCTGATAGGAATAAAGTAGCCTCAGTCACTTCCTCAGTACTGCTCATTGAGACAAGTGTCGCAGCTTTCAATTTCAGAAATCTTTCTATGCTGTGCCATGATTTTAAACTATTTTTTTCAGACAGTTCTTACCTGCATAATGGTATTTCAGTAAAGGCAAGTTTAGATTGTATGTGAGGAGCTTGCTAACTAACACAAGAAACTTTGCGTTTGGTGTTTGTGCTTGCTTTATAAATGTGGTTAGAAGAATGTGGTTAGACTTACAGCAAGACAAAACTGTTAGGACAGTGGTTGTTTTTTTTTTTTAGTTGATAGACTTTAATATAGATAGTTGAGTTTGTGTTTGTGGGAGGTTTTTTTGGTTTTTAAAATTGATTATTTAAATGAAATCTAATAGAGGGAAGTAGATATTTCTATGTTAGTAGAAACGGTAAAGGTTTTTACATTACTTTCTGTTTAATTCAAAGTATTTTAAAATTATTTTGAAGTAAATGAATAATTTGCACATTACGCGGTCATTACAGGAAGGAGAGCAATTTGTCAAGAAAATCGGTGGAGTCTTTGCCTTCAAAATAAAAGATGGTCCTGGTGGGAAAGAAGCAACTTGGATAGTAGATGTGAAAAATGGTAAAGGCTCTGTGGCAATTAATTCAGGTCAGTACTACATAAAGAAAACACATAAAACTAATTAAAAGAATATAAAATCATATTCTGTTTAAGTTACAGTGAACTTGAGCAACAGTGGTGTAGAGCTACCTTAATTTTCAGTTTTTCTTATTACTGACACTTTCATCCATGATATTTTGGAACTAGAATTAAACAACATCTACTCTGAATTCTGTCTTGGATAATTGCATGTTTTCTTAGAGGCTCCAGACAGGTCTGTCATATGACTGTTACAGGAATTGGAATTAAAAAAAATAAAAAAAAAAAAATCAAACCTCAGGGGTTTTATTGTTCTCTCCTCTTAAAATCTGGGCCAGAACTGTAATACGCAGCTGTTTCTTCAGTTGCTTTGTTGGAGACACCAGTAGGCGGTAAGCTGGTCTGTCTTGTAAAGTTACTTTTCCTCTGCCACTAGTTAAGCAATAAAACTTGACTGATTTCAATACTGTACCAGCTGATATAAACTTAAAGTTCCATTTTAAAAAAGGCAGACCTAAATAAGACACAGATTGGGTGGTGGTGGGGAGCCCCATAAAACTATTGGAAACAAAGGATTTGTACCCTTGCCATGAAAATGTCATCATGTATCTGAAGTTATGCATCCTAGTAATGTAAATAAAAAGCCAAAGACTGTCCTCAGAATCTCATATATCTATGAGCCTGCATCGTAAAGCTTTTAATTAAAAACAGGACAGGGGTTTGATTTGGAATTCATTGATCTGAGTTATCACAAAAAGAAAAGTACTCCTACCTGTTGTGTGGACAACATTTTTTCAAAAAGAAATCTTTAGTAATAATAAGATGACTCTAGGAAAAGATGTGTGCAGTTTTTAGCCCTTTGGTATATACATTATATTTCTGTCAGAGCTTATTAAAATAATTTTTAGCTTATTTCTGGTAAGAAGATCCGAAAAAACTTCTGGATTTTAATTAATCCAAACGAGTGCTTTCAGAATGCACATGTTGTTCCCATTGAAGGAAAGGGCAGGAAATGCCTGAAATTTCAGTGATGAGTATCTTCAGAGAGTGTCACAGGGGAAAACGCATTTATTCTGAGTTGATCTTAATACTAGCAAATTTAAACTTGATAAAATGACTGTCAATGCTTCAATTAACATTCTATCTGATTACAAGTAGATTATTATTTCTTTTCAAGGAATGAATTTGCTTAGCACCTCTCAGAAAGGTCCACCTTTCTTCAGCATTGGGATGGTCTGTGCTACAAGGTGGCACAGATGCCTGTTGGTTATTGGATGATCTCTTGCTGAAATTTTTATAATGGCCCTTATTTGTATGTACTTCAGGTAACCATTTTGCTAACCTGTAGTATCAACAGATTCTTCATGGAGTTGCAGCTTCTATTACTGTTTCATCTCTCAGTTTGAATCTTCATAGTCAACTCTGTCTTACAGATCAGAAGGCGGATTGTACAATTACAATGGCTGATACTGATCTGTTAGCTCTCATGACTGGCAAAATGAATCCTCAGACAGTAAGTATAGCAAAGATGAGATAAGAGGACTGACTTCTTTGTTTGTTTTGAGTGTGTCTAAGTTGACATCATTTCAGTAAATCCGCTCCTCAAAACTGCCATGGCTAATCTGAAAAATGGCAGTTCTTGACTTTCTCTGAACAAATTGGCCAAAGTAAGATTAATCAAGAAAGACAGTATCTACTCTTCTGAACAGGTACATATTATCTCAGACATCCTATAGGTAATCCAGAAGGGGATATAACAGTGCTTGGTTTGCATACAAGAGAGGGAAACTAGTGTTGGCGGTGTGACTTAAGAAAGGAGGAATGTTGGCCCTCTGGAGGGCTTTACGCTCATAGCTGGCAAGGAATAATCTTGATGCTGAAAAATAGAAATTGGGGTGAGCATCCACTGAATGCCTATGAGTATTTGGGGGTTTTTTTATTCCTCAGTGTGTCAAAAGCAGCCATAGTGTACAAATAAACCGGATGTTTAAGTTAATTTTAAGTTTAAGTTGCTATTCTGTACTTCTAAATTTGAAATGCTCTGGGTAACATTCTCTTAAGTTTTTGGTCTGGTAATCACAGGGTAAATAACAATTTTCACAAGCTAAAATGTGTCTGGGAGAAGTTTGAAGGTAAAGCATGTTATAGAAATGTTGTGATGTACATGTAGGAAATTCAGAAGCAATTGCAGTTTTACATCTAGAATTTGGATACTTAAGTGCCTGCAGTTCATCTTCTTACAAGGTCTGGAGGAAAAAATCCAAATCCTTAGCATGTCTGCCTCACAAACTAGATTTGTATAACTGAACTAATCAGTAACAAAATCAGTAATGTTTGGGGGGGGATTTGAGTAAGAAATCAGTTGTGGCATTTACTATACACTATTGCTTTATCATCTTCAGCTGAAATAGTGAACTTTTACCCTATGAACTGTCATCACCAAAACATTGGGTATTCTGCCCTGCTTTGTATGCAGATCCATTGTTATGATAATGCAAGAAACATGCAATACCAAGTTTATTCTCTTTAGGTGTCAAAAATATAATATGCGTACAACTTCCTCAATTTACTATTCTACCTTCTAGTGTCAGAAAACACATTTGTTGATGAATGCCAGATACCTACTTAGAACTGTTGGAATTATAAAATTGCAGGCCAGGACCTGCACATGCATAATAGTTCATAACTTCTGGGAGGGGTGCATTTGGGGTAATATGTTGTATTGCATTTCATGTAATCTTTTTTTTCTTTTTAGGCATTCTTTCAAGGCAAGCTGAAGGTTTCTGGGAACATGGGCATGGCAATGAAACTTCAGAATCTACAGTTGCAGCCAGGCAAAGCTAAACTTTGAGCTCATTAAACAGTCAGTACTTGATATTCTTGGCAAAAAAAGTAGAATGAAACTAGACGACATCAGTAATACAACGCAGGCTGGGTTTGCCTGGACCTCTCTCACCTAGATTCTGTGGTTAAGGACTTAATTCTCTTAATAAATTCCATCAGTTTGTTTGTGGCAAAGATCTTTAGGCTAAGCTTGAGGCACTAACTCTTACAAATGGTGTATGGTGGGTATTTGTGACAATTTTTGTTTTAATCAATACGAAAAATTTTATAAAACCTTAGACTTGAGCGAGGCTGCTTACTGTTGTTCAGGTTAGTTGGGAATAGAGTGGGAAAGGTTATAAATAGTTTGACATATCAATTAAGTGAGTTGCATTTTTTGAAAAGCTATAATTGCAGATCATACAAATGCTTTCAGATTTCCATTCTAACAAATTTGCTGCTGCTTAAACTAAAATGGTCTTACAAGGGGGATCTCTAACAACATTTTTTTAGAATAGGCTTTAGGAATTTGCTATAAAATACTTTTCTTATTACTACTTTGGAATTAAAAAATAAAATATCCAGAAGTAAGTAGGAACTAGGAATGTTGCTGTCAGATTCACAGGATTTGATAGTATTTCTCCTTGAAAAAAAATTAGGTTTGCCAGGAGAGCAGAGAGGGAGTATAACTGCCATTTCACCTGTTTTCTCCTGAGAAAATCTGCTGTTGATCATTATGAAATTCTTATCAGTAACATAAAAGCTTTAACTTGTTTTGGGAAAATGTATTCTGGTTGGAAGTTCAATAGAAAATTAAATATACTTTTCCTGTTCTTCTGTGTGTTACTTCTTTGGATTTATAAACATGGATTTCGTGTTAATGCTGTGAATTAACTATTTATACAGATTGTCATGAAGGGCTCCTTCAGTCATTCATTTTTTCCTCCTTGGACATTGTCAGTAGCTACTCCATAACTACATCTCAGTCCAATATATACACCATACATCCTCACATATGTGGGCCATGATCAAGGAATTTTATGTCTAAACTTTCACTTTCCTGGTTTAACTAAAATCATCATAAGAATTAGCTAATTCAAGCCAATCATTCTGCATATCTGGTGTGAATGGTTAGCAGATTGCTGAGCAGTAAGAATAGCTGTACTGAATGAGACCAAAAATCAGTCTAGCCCCTTACATTTTCTGACTCTTGATACCTTGGAAGGAATATTAAGATGGCCCAAGCATTTCTTTACCCAGAATACTTTCCTAGCTGCCACTGATTTTAATTTTCTTCTTTCTAGTTCACAAATTTGAGCCAGAAGTGGTATGTCTGTGTCTAAAGTTCTTGATGGATAGTCTTTCATGAGTTTGTCCCGTCCCTTTTTGAATCCTTGACAGCTTTTTAGCATGGGTCAGGAATTTCTGTAGCTTACCTACATGTCATGTGGAATTGAATTTATACCTCTTAGTTGCTTTTTTTTGTTGTTGTGGTGGCTTTTTGTTTGTTTTTAACTGGAAGAAACAGTGAACAGCTTTGAAGCACTCCTGGTATTTATAGTTTTGCTCTATCACCTTCAGGCTTCACAGCTTAAAGAAGAGGACATTCTATTTCACTCTGCCACATGGAGAGGCCCTTGTAACCTTTTGGCCATCCATGTATCCTTCCTTTATGCTGCATTCTGATTGTCCTGTTAAAAAGTTTTCAAGATACAAGAGCATTTTCTGCTTTTGTTTTTCTTTCCCCAGTTGCTTTTTTGACCACTGCTAGTTTTGAGCTGATGCTTTCTTAAGTATCTTAAAACTGGGGCCTCATTTCTTTCATATTAACTCTGCTTATTTCTGCACTGTGAGGCTGAAACTTTTTTAAAATTACTTCATATTCATTGCTTTATTTATACTGAATTTCAACTGTCTGTTTTACTGTCCAAGTGCTCAGTGTTCAGACCTGCCTGCAGCTCTTGTACTCGGCCCTCATCTTTATCTGGATGAATCAACTTTTATCATCCCACTGTTCATCTTATTTTCCAAGGCATTGGTTTAGTGTTGAATAGGACAGATGTTGCCTTTCTCCACTGAAAACTTAAAATACAATCTGGTCACATGAATCATTCCTCTTGTATACTTGTTTATTGACCTACCCAAAGGATTGTAGTAGATAGGAGTCCTGTCTCTCAAAAAAAAGCAGGGTTAGCTCTCTACAAAATAACATTTGCTAATGTATCCACTGCTTTTTCCTAAATTCTTGCTGTTCAGCTTGTGGGCTAAAATAAAGGGGATCTACAGGACTGCAGCAGTAGTTCTGTACTGAAAACAATTTATTCCTCTACACCGTTGCATACACACCCTTTCATTAGTAAGCTTTGTCCTCCTTTTAAATCTGATACCACCAGAAGAGTTTGGGGTAGGTGTCTGTTTGCAAGCTAAGAACCTGCCTTTCCCAAGGATTTTGCGCATAGACACAAGATATTCTTGGCTGCTGTTTAATTAAAGAAGCAAATTAATTTTGAAGTGTAAACAAGCTAAAATGGATCATAATAGGACATACCAATAAAAGTTGGGCTAAGATGTGCTCACCTGCAGATTGAGATCACTTTTTAAGGAGTAAAAAAAGCTGCACAGGAATATACAAAAAAACCCCAAACCAAACCCAGTGGAAATATTTGGAGTTTGTTCGCTACCAAGAGAAAGAATATCCAAGTCTGAGACATAACCTTCAGAGAAATCTCTAGGTTTGAACAGGACTTTTGGGTTTGGGCATTTGCAGATACGATGTTACAACAGAAAGATCCCAGATCAAATGTGGGTGTTTAGTTCACTTACCAGCTGTAGCTAGAGGGAGCAATGCAGAGGTTGGCATAGCCTACTTTCTCTGCTGGGAAGTAAGAGAACTAGTCAGCTTTGGATTTCGTCTTCTGCAGTATTTAAGAAGATGCAGTAAAGGACAAAGTCATATATTTACCCCATCTATTAATTAATGTCTTATTTAGACATCTGTCTTGTATTACTCCTTCACTTTTAGCACCTTCTTTGTGTCATAACTTGCTGAGAATTTTTAAAATATAATACTTTTTCTCATTTTCCTTTTTCTGGGAGTGAGGTGTGTGTGAGGGGTCTTCTCTAAAAATTCCAGATCCCCCATTTATATTCTGCAGTCTTAGAATCTGATAACTTTGAACAAATAAATTCCTCAGTGGACAAAAGTCATTTGCTCTGTTCATTATGATGAGGAGTAGGCAAAGCTCAGTGATACAGACCAGATTTTGACATTAAGTTCTGTTACTTATTTTTTACATAATCAAAGCATTACCTAAGTTTGTACCATTTTAGAAATCCCTACAAAGGTTTTCTTTCTGACTCAATAATGCTCTCTTGACCAAGCAGCATTAAGCACCTCTTCACAGAATGAATCATAGAATCATAGAATGTTTAGGGTTGGAAGGGACCACTAGTGGTCATCTAGTCCAACCCCCCTGCAGTGAGCAGGGACACTGCTAACTAGATCAGGTTCCTCAGACCCCCATCCAACCTGGCCTTGAATGTTCCCAGGGATGGGGCCTCCACTACCTCTCTGGGCAACCTGTTCCAGTGTTTTACCACCCTCATTGTAAAAAATTTCTTCCTCTTCGCCAGCTAAAATCCTGTGTAACTACAGCTCAGCCTTTCTTCTGAAGTTTATATGTTACTGCAATTCTGTTATGTTAGTTTGATTCCTTGAGGGCAGAAAGGTACCTAGAGATACCAAGAGGTGGCTAGTCACTGAACATAGCAAAGTTTAAATTTTTGGTTTCAAAGGCCTTGCGTAAAGAAAAAAAAAATACTAATCCTCTAGGCAGAGGGTTTAGTGTTCTCAGACTTCCAGTTCACATGAGATGAAATTTCAGCTTTAGATATTAAAATGCTCAGGAGGGTTGTTCTTCCTTCATGGGCTCTGGTGACTACCCTTTGCAGCTATTGGGGTTTTTTTACCAGCTATGATAAATGGGCTGATCATTTGACAGCCAGAGATGCTGTCAGGTTGGTAGGCATATCTTGTCTTCACATTCTTTTGTAAAATTCGTGTAATTCTTTCAGATACGAATTTTCATAAATAAAGAAAAAAAGTAAAACACGTTTCATTGCTATAAGAGAAGGAAATAGATTTGTCAGGGTTGGAGCCAGTGAGCAGAGTGATGCCTGACTCAGCAGATCTGGCTTGCAGGAATTTGAGTGAATGCTTTGGTTTTGGAGCATAGATTTTCTTTTTAAATTTTTACTTGAGTTTTGTGTTTTGGTCCTGCTGCTTTGCCTAGTCAAAAATAGGTACAATGCACTGTGTTACACCCTTTATACCATACACCTTTTCAAAAGTGATTGCTGCTTTTCTTATAATTAATTTGAGTAGTCAGAAGAAAAGCTGATGGTCAGAACATGGTTCCTTTCCTTAAAATGTGTTGCTTCAATAAATCTCAGTTCTTGTGCTGATCAGGATAACAAACAGGAGTTTGCAAATAGGATCTACGAGAAGGCAGTTACTGCAGCTGCATGTTGTTGTATGGGGCTGACCTTGCCTCTTGAATAACTTCATGGGGCCATGTGACACAGGGTGCCTAGTACAGGTGTTACAAGGGGAACAGAATCTGGCAAGTGGCTCATCGTGGCTTTATTTGTGTAAAGCAAATTGGCCTAGTAGGAGGTAATCTGGGATTCCTTTGGTAAGCAGCAGAGAGATTAGTTTGCTCAGGTGAGGTGGTTGTGAACAGCTGAGCATGGTTTGTGGCAGCTGGGCCTAGGAGGTATTCTTTTGGGCAATAGATCATTGCAGCATGTGGGAGGATGGGATAAAGGGACTCAACTACATCTTCCCTCTCACAATAGACAAAATTTCAAATTATCACAAGGCTGGATTTGTCCATTTCCCATATGTCCAATTCATCTGAGGTCAGTTTAAACTGTTACCTCCTTGGAACAGGAACTGCATTGCTTCCTGTTTTACAGAGCACTGAGCTGGATGTCAGCTCTAGTTAAACAGAAAAGAATAAGAATGCAATTAGCCTGGTGGATAAAAGGCAGGAAAAAGTCTCTTAACTATGAAAAATCATCACTTGAGGAAGCAAACCACATGTGGAGAACAAATGCTGGAAAAAAACCCCAACTGTTTGGAACAAATTCCTTTATTACTTAAATAAACAGCAGCATAATTTGTTGGAGTGACAGTGTGAGCTGTTCTGTACCCTGTATCTGTAAGAAGAATTCACTGCTAACTTAACAGCATATGCCTTTATATGGCCCTGGGTGGGTTCTCTGGGAAATATTATATACTGTGATACAGGAACAGAAATATCCTCATAATGCTGCAGCAGGCTAAAAGGAACGTGGCTAGTATAAAACAAGTACAAAATATGCTGTGTCTGTATCCCATATTTCAGGTAGATTAAAAGCAGTCTTTTTTTTTTTTTTTTAAACACTACATGTCCTCTGGGAGAACAGACATCTTAAAGTTCATTCGGATCAAGACACAGCTGCCAATAGGCTCATGGCCAGGCTCTGTTGTGCATACTTAGGTTTGAAAAATACTTCCCTTCCTGCTTTAGAGACAAAACCCCCTTTTACTCTTTGTGTTTTGATTATTCATTTTTTAAAGCAAATGAGGGCAAGTTGCTTAAAAGAATTTTAATGCGCTTCTTTCTCTCATTTCAAATAAAAAGACAGTATCAGCATATAAAAGAACGTTTTACTACCTTTTAAGATATGACTAAACCTTAAATCTCCTGAATACCTCATGTCTCATTCCATGCCGATCACAAGTGAGCTTATGTACAGCTGCCTGTA